GGCGCGCTGCCCCGCCACTTGCAGCTGTACCAAGGAGTCCATCATCTGCGTGGGCTCGTCCTGGGTGCCCAGGATCGTGCCTGGCGACATCAGCTCCCTGTGAGTGGGACCCTTCCAGCCCCCACCCCGCCCCGCCCCGCCCCGCGCCCGCCGAGCCTGGGAGTTGCCTGTGGCGCGGGGCAGCAGCAACCCTGACCCACTCCTCAGCCCACTGCTTTGCGTTTGGGTGGGGGCGCACTACGGGACGTGGGTGGGGCGCTGGCCTGGGGAGGATAGTGAGAACGCGAGCCTCAGAGTCTGGGAGCCGGGACGGGTCCCTGTGGCAGTGTTTCTCAGAGTGTGGCCCGCGGGCCACCTGCATCTGTCTCACCTGGGGGCGCTTGTGCCAATGCAGAATCCCGCCTGCCCTGAAGCAGAGTCTCTGGAGTGGAGCCCTGGAGTCAGCATCCTGAGTCCCTGGGCAATTCTACGGTGCATCAAAGTTTGGGGAGGGGGTGTTTGTGGGCCAGGGGATGAGTGCGTAGGGGAATGCGTACAAGCCACTGAACATGACCGGAGCGCGGGCTAACCAGGTGGGGCCGAGGCCTCACTGCCCCACCTCAGGTCTGGGAGGCTTCCACTGTGGCCTCTGGACTTCTCCACACTGCAGGTGGGAAAGGGCCTGGGTTCCAGGAGCAAGGGATGTCTCTTATGGCCCGAAAGAGGGGGCACAGAGGGCTTGGCAGAGCCTTGGGGCGCGTGGGCTGCTCAGCCCAGTGGCCAAGTGCTGGAAGTCAGCCTGACTTTTTGTCCTGAGTTGAGGAGGACTCCTTGTCCCTTTCACCACCACACTCTTGTGCTGGCTGCTTTTTCAGCACCCGAGGAACTGACAGGAAAACAGCTTCACAATATTTATCCACTTGCCAACAGACTCTTCCCCCTTGCCCTGGACAGCTGCTCAAGTCAATGACCAGCTCTCATCCGGGCAGTGGAAGGGGCTGTGGGACTGTATCTTTCCTGCCTGAACATCCGTTCTGTTGAGGCCATCCCCTCCTTCCAAGCCCAGGTCCCTACATACCCTCTCAATTATAGAGGCAGGGAATCCCTGGGGGTGACATCGTTTGTGCTCAGGGCATTTTCTGGTGTCCCACACTCCCCTCCCTCCCACCCAAGACAAGTCATAGGGGCCTGAACCCAGGAGCGAGAGGATTCCTGTTTGCATTTATAAGAAGTCAGGAGAGTTTGGCTGGTGGGAACACAGGGCCTTTTGGGTTCCTAGCACTGCCAAGTTGGATGTCATGGAGACATTTCTAATTCCAGAAATTAGAATTCCCCTTATTAAATCCTTTTGACCAGCAGCTGCTTAATTGATCTGCATGTTAACCTAAAATAATTCTGAAACAATGGATTGAGATCTCGCTGTGGCCAGAAAGGACAGGGGGCCTGAGGGCAGAAACAGAGCTAAGCCCTTGCCCCCTAGTTGACCATTTTATCTGGCAGATGGCATTGCCTCCCCCCCACCCCGCACAGCCTGAGTTCAGGTGTCTCTGAGTTTTTTTCCCCCAAGGCTTTCACAGTGCATTTAATCAGAAGTGCTCTGAGTGTCTTTCTGAGATGTGCTCCCAAGGGGAAAGCTTACTCCTACCCCAGAGTTTCTCGTTGGCCAACATTAACGCTGTGTCTACACAAACAGAATCATGGGCAGAGGTGAAGTGATTATCCATTTTCAGATGGGGCCTCCTGTAGTTAAGAAAAGGAAGTCAGGGGATTGATTTTAAACTGACTGAGATAATGTCTGTGGAACGAGCTGATGGTGAAGGTTTCGGGTATTCAGAATATTTTTGTACTGATCCAGTGTGTTGGGAAATGGCCTGGGTTTTCTCCTTCCCGCCCCTGGGAAGACTCTGGCCAGCTGTGTTAAGCCTCACTCCTGAAACACAGGTGGAGGATGAGGCCAATTGCCCACCTTGGCTGGAACTTGCTGAAAGAAACATAAGCCTCTTTTTGTGCCTCTTTTGCCTATAGGAGCCTGGTAAATGGAACATTTTTGGAAATCAAAGACCGAATGTTTTCCCATCTGCCTTCCCTGCAGCTGCTGTGAGTATGTGATAGTCTCTCTGCAAAGTGGGGGCCCCTGAAGAACAGTTCTTGATGGGTGATCTCTGCCTCTGTGGGATCATTCCTTCCTACGATACCCAGTTCCATGAGGAAACCGTAGACGGCTCTTGGTGTTAATTGGCCCTGTGGCTTCCCCAGCGGAGTAGCGAGGCTCCTTGCTCGGTTTCCTTGCCTTAGTTTGGTGCCTGTTTTCATCAAGGACTTTATCAACACCCAGATCCAGCGATGGGGGAGCTGATTACGTTGAATCATAACTGGAACATCACCCCAATGGACGGTTCCCCAAACACCTCATTTTAAAAGAAAACTCACATTTTAAAAGCTTACTGTCACTCTGGAGACAGAAGTATTTCAGTTTACCGAGTACTTAAACAGGGAGCGTACTGTGCATTTAGAAGAATAATTTTATTTCATCATCATGTTATTCTTGTGAGGAGGGTATTCTTATTTTTCCATTTGATAGATGAGGAAACTGAAGCTCAGGGAAGTTAAGAAACTATCCCCAAATCAAGGAGCCAGAATTTTGATAGATGAGGAAACTGAAGCTCAGGGAAGTTAAGAAACTTTCCCCAAATCAAAGAGCCAGAATTCCTTGGAATTCCGGGGTCCAAGGCCCACATTTGTAACTACCCTTGGCCCTGGCTCATCTCGGTAAGCAATGCCAAAGTCATTATGGTGAAGACCCACGTGGTATCCTGTAATGCAGGTCAGCTAATGTTTGCAAAAGAAAAGAAATGTCCAAAAGACAGTTTTCAAATCAGGGACAGAGAAAGTCCTAAGAACTCATTCTCTTTATCTAGACTGGTTTTTTACATTTGTGATCAGATCAAAATTTAAATAAGCAATGGGCCACAGAAAAATACGGAGAAATGGAGTGTAGGAGACAATTATTCATCCTCAACCAACTTGCTCGTTATATTTTTGTTCTTGAACTGCTATATGCCTGCTCATAACATTATACTTAACATTTTAAAATCTGCAATCTCTTAGAAATTGCAGTGCCATGAAAATATACTTTTCATATGATAGAAATACAATCCTAGGGTTGTGTTTTTCTGTTTGTTTTTTTGCCAGAAGACTTGAGTAGTAACTCAAATAAAGAACTATGCAGTGATAAAGAGTCTTCTGGAGGAAGGTTTCTTGAACAAACACTTTGTATTACTTCTCATGGGAATGTATAATATAGTAGAAAGGATTGTTGTTTTGTCCAGGCTGTGTGACTTTTGTCAAGTCACTTAACGTCTCTGGGCTCAAATTACTTTAAAAATAGAGTTGGGTTAAATCCTTTTAGAGCTCTAATTCTATGGTTGTTTGTGCATCATAATGCGTTCCTGTAGCTGTTTAGTTGCAGTAAACATCAAGATGTGTTAACTAACAGCTATCGGGTCATATTTTCTGAGACCCACAGGGAAGTGGGTAGAAGATTGGGGATGACTAATAAGTAGGACCAAACGGATCCACCTGCCATCATCTCCATTAGCATTCTATTCTTCAAGAGTCAGGCTGTAGACCTACTGGGTGGTTCTTTGGCTGTAAAGAGCCCACATTTGCCCACAGTGTGGGCAAGAACAGAACAGAGGAAAAGAAATGGAAATGGCTTTATCTTGGGACTCGAGTTTTACATCTCTGCACTGAAATCCATTCCTTATTTTCAGGTTGCTGAACTCTAACTCCTTCACGGTCATCCGGGATGACGCTTTCGCTGGACTTTTTCATCTTGAATACCTGTAAGTTCTGTCCTTTGCCTATTGGCTGACCCTTTGATATCTAGGAGAATTGCTGAGTTGCCTTCTGTGCGGGAACGGCATCTCTGCGAGGGCTTGGGGTGGAGGAAATGGAGAAAACCCCATTCTCTTCTCAGCACTGACCTTTTATAGTTGACTTGCTTACAAACGAGCTGGGGCAGGAGGAGGCTGGAGACAGACAAAGAAGGGGAGATATTCATTCATTCTCTGCTGACATTTGATTTGTCGTGTAGTAAGCACAATTGGAAATTGCGTTGGGTATTTTTACCTCTCATAACTAAGCATGAATTTGCTGATCAGCCAGAACTAGAGCTGAAAGATTCTGAGGCTTACTTATTTTTAAGTAAAATCTCCCTGTTGGGGAGGGGTACAACTTCATGTTTTTTATTCAGCTGTCCTATATCCCTTGTGCGACATCTCCTGTGAGTTGCTGCTGAGGGTCTAATTTCTTTTTCTTCTTAAAAGAAAAAGGTGATTTCTTTTCATTTTGGGATAGGCAGGGTTTTTTATCCCCCCCAGCCATGAGCTTTGCCCTCGTTCTGATTTCTGCTTTTTTTCACTTCCATGTCTTTTCTCCCCTTTCAGTTCTTTCATCCTTGTCTTTGCTAACTTTGTAATAATGTTAATCCTGCTATCAGATGGATTCCCTCACTTAGCATTCAGAGGGGGTTTTTGAAGCCTTCTCTCCACTTTCTTATCTGAGTTCAACAGGTAGGTATTGGGATTCTGGACACAGTCTGGGCATAAGACAACTCTCTGCTGATTTTGTGTCTTGAGGAAAGCCGTCTCTGGAGGACTTCTTCCCCCAGTGTATACATAATGTATATGCTGATACATACATAGTGTGGAAATCGTGGTGCAACTACAGTGCTAAATCCAACTAGTGTCTAGCAAAATGCATAAACAACCCATGAAAAGTAGGAAACGCGAAGCCATGAGTTTTCTCTTACAGGCTTTTAGTTCATCTTGCTGTCAAGGTTACTGGGGAGGAAGTTAGCTTATCAGTTTATTCTGAAGTCTATTCATGGAGAGACGCTTGAGTTTTTTTTTTAAAAAAGCAGACATCAGAAGGTTCTTAGTGCAAGAATCAAGAATGATTTCATTGATGGCGTTGGACCATCTCCTTAAAGACCGTCTTACATCTGACTTAACAACAATGACAGAAACTGAACTGTAGTTCACTGTGGCTCCAGGGAATAGTAAAGGTCATTCATATTGTGTCTTCCCCACAAAGACCTTACAGCATGGCCAGTGTTGTTATTGCAACATCCCATGTCGCTTTAGGACAGAGAAAGAAATTTGGCCCCTACTCAACTTCATTAATCTTCCTACCTCCTAGTGGCTTAGAGATCTTGAGAGTATCCCTGCCTTTTTGTCCATTTACGAGGCTGTTGGAGAATGTGATAAACTCAGGGTTGTTAGAAGCCAAGCTTAATGGAACTCTCCCTCAGCCAAAACTTTAATACAGAGATGTAAAACAATGGCTCCCCTCAAGGGACAATGAGATTACAAAAATATTAATAGCCAGGCACTGTGAACTGTGAGAGGGATTGCATAAGGGAAGTGTCTGGAAGCATTCCAGTCTTGCAGAGATAGGAGAATTTCTTGTCTTCGTGCTTTCTTCTCCCCGCCCCATGTTGTCAACTCCGAATTTGAAGACTTCCATGCTGCTTCCGGAAGGAGTGCAGACACACACTTACATGTCTGTGTATTTGTTCAAGCACCCACCTGCGCTCGTGGAATTTGCTATAGCCCACCTGGTCTTCAGAGATGGACTTTCATAATTCATGAGTGTGCTTAGATTTTCTTCTGAAAGCATAATAGTATCGTTCTATAGAAATACTAAAGATAGAAAATTCATTTCAGTGATACCACATTTTTTCTTAGGTTCATTGAAGGCAACAAAATAGAAACCATTTCAAGAAACGCCTTTCGTGGCCTCCGTGACCTGACTCACCTGTAAGTCCTGTAAAAAGTGTTGTAAGTCCTTTAGTGGGTGGAGTAAGAGTCATTTCCTGGTTCCCCTCTCTTTCTTGACTGTTATTTCCACATTGGAACATTCCCTGAAGGCTTGTGATTTCTGGGTTGCCTGAGAGGTTTCTGTATTGTTGATTAGACACGGGCTTTTTGTGACTTCTCATGCACTTGGCTTTAGTGCCTTCTCCATCATTCTGGGCCACAGTTACGGACCATGTAACCGTGTGTGGAGTAAGGAGCGCTGTGAGTTGTGGGGGAGGAGTTGGGGAGGGAATTACCATACATCTGACACCTGCTGGTGCTGGGGACAGGGCTGCGTGCTCAGTGAGCTGGCCTCTCTCTATCTTTCATGATAATCTGTGAGTTTCCATTTTACAGATTTGAGAACCAAGGCTTAGCTGACTGGGTTGAATATAGGATCAGGAGAAGGACAAAGTGCAATTGAGACATTTTTTGTGGTTCTCACTGGAATGCAAATCACTTTTTCTTTTATGTTGGATTCATCTGTGGCTTCAGCTAAGCTCTCTGGTACTGTAATAGCTTCCTGGAGAAGAAAAAACATTAAACAAATTAATTTGAATTGGTATGTCAGAAGGAAGCCAGTATACACATTTAGAAAAATGCCTAAGACTGGAAAACCTAGTGACTGTGTTCATGAAAACATAAAAATAGTCATTGTCTTCGTGGGAGTAATTTATTAGCTGGGAGCTGGGTCCCAATTTGCATGATAAATATTTTGTCTTTGAGGTAGCCTGTCTATAGAGAAAAAGAAAATTAGGGAAAGTAGAGGGTTTGGACTGGGGGTGGTGTGTAACTCTGAAGATACAGCGTGGACGTGGTCATCTAACCAGGTAAGCATTCACATCACGTCCGGGTACTGGCACCGATATCTGTCATTAGGGCTGGCACAGATATCTGTCGCTTGATTCTCAA